AAAATATAGTTTAAATATTTTAACACCCCACAAAAAATTTATTGTAAAAATTTTCACAAAAGATTCTTATTTTTTTAACATTTTTTTATTTTGTTTTTTTCTTTATAAATAAAAAAAAAAAATTTATTTAAAAATAGTTTTTTTAAATCACTAAATAAAATAATTTACATTTTCCAATATATATACATATTTCATATAAATTTTACATATAATACAACAAAAGAATGGTAGAAGTTGAATCACTCTCAAACTCAAATAGTTGGTTTAATCAACAAACTAATAACAACAATACACAAAACAATAATAATAATAGTAACAATAATAATAATAGTAATAATACAAATGGTACATTTTTAACACCACTACCGTTAACAAATTCATCAACAGGTTTAAATAAAAGTATTGAATGGTTATATGAACAAAATTTAAATGCTAGCACTAAGGCCACTAAATTATCAAATGGTTTTTCTTTATTACAAGATGGCACCCAATCACCATCATCTTTTTTAAATTTATCATCAACAGGTGGTCATGATGAGCCAGTACAAGTACCAATCTTAAATAATAATAATAACAACGAATATCCATATACTATTTCTCCACTTTTACAATCATCTACACCACCACATACCAGCGCATTATTACAACCATTAACATACCACCAATCATCCCCAATTTCTTTAGTTCCACAATCAACAAACCATACTAGCAGCAATAGTAATAACAATAGTAGTAATAGTAATAATTTTTATTCATCATCATCATCTGCTGGCTCATCACCAATTCAAGATTATTATTCACCATCATCATCACCATTAACTATTCCAAATACATGCGATTCATCACCAATTCCAACATATAGTAATAAAACCGCACCAAATTATCAATTTTCTGGTAATGGTAATGCTTTAAAACAAACTACTGGTATCCCAAATACAAGTGCACCTGTTTTTGTTACTTCATCTGGTTCAACAGGTGAGTTTAGTTATTATAATTATGTCGAGCACAGTTTATTGAACCAAATTAACTTGACATCTCACCCAATTATCCATCAACAACAATTTGGTAGTGTTCCAACCATTTCATCATCAACTCCATCATCACCAAATCAAATTACAACTGTTACCAATAGTAGCCATATTGCTCATAACACCCATCATCATCATCAACAACCACAACAACAACAACAACAACCAATTTTGATGGGTATTTCAAGCCATAATATTATACATAATATGAGTGAAGAAGAAATTGAAAAACCATTCAATGCAAAGAAATTCCAAGATGATTTAAGATCAATTGTACCAGGTTATGATGAAAACCATAATATTTTATCAGAGTCATCAGGTCACTCAGAATCATCACAAAGTGATTATGATGATCTTTCCGAGCAACGTCAGGTTAGTGTCAAAAAGAGAGGTAGAGAACAAGAAGAAATTGATGTTTCTGGTTTAACCGTTTTACCACGCGAAAAAGTTTTAAAACTTACAAGTAAAGAGATTGAAGATTATGTTTCCCGTTTAAAGCAAAACCATGTTCTCACTCAATCCGAAGAGAAAGATTTAAAGAAGCAAAGACGTTTAGTAAAGAATCGTGAATATGCTTCACAATCTCGTTCTCGTAGAAAGGTTTATGTCGAAAATATTGAATCAAAACTCCAAAAAACCAATCAAGACTGCATGAGCATCAAAACTCAATTAAATCAAGTCAAAGAAGAAAATAAAATGTTAAAAAAACAATTGTACAGTATAGTTTCAACCCTTAAATCTGATTCTTCTTTGGCCCAAGCTTTTGGAAAATTATTTGCTCCATTAGGTAATAACAAACCATCATCCACTACTACCTTATTTGTAAGTTATTTTATTATTTTTAAAATTAAAATTAAAATTAAATACTAATTTTTTTTTCTTTTATTATTTAGATTTTCATATTTTTATTCTCTTTTACATTTTTATTCAAATCACCAATTTCATTTAACTCACCATCTTCTACTATTACTTTTAATTCAGAGTATGTTTTAATTATTTATAAAAAAAAAAAAAAAAAAAAAAATTCAAATATTAATTTTAAATTATTTTATAGTAGTGCATCTTTACAACGTAATTTATTGGAGTTTGATGAGCCAACCGCTGCACCAAGCTCTGAATGGAAGAGAGCTATTTTAGAAGAAACAAAACAATATATTGATAACTTGGTAGATTCAGTTTATTCAAATATTAGATTTAAAGAGGTATCAGAAACTAAATTAAATACTGAAACATTCTTACCAATTGACAGTAAAGAAAATAATACTACCGATAAAAAACAAGTAGAAACCACCATCACCGCAGATGATGAAATTACAAATATTTTTGGTAAAGTTTCATTAGATGATGCTGAACCAGAAAAATGTAAAAATAACGAAAATACTTTTGATGATTTTAAAGAAACTTTAAGATCGAATTCTCCACCTTTAACACAATAAAATATCATTTTTTTTTACATATATATAAAATAATTAATAAATTTTTATGTCGGTCAAAACCGAGAAAGTTTTCTTATTAAAAAATTTTTATCATTGAGAATCACTGAGTTAATAAAGAGAGAAACGCTCAATAATAGTTTTATAATAAAAATTAATTTATATATTCAAAAAGTCTTAATTTATTTTACAACAGTTCGGGTATGAAGGTTTACCATGTAAAGCTTTACAAAGATTGGAGTTTTTATTTTTACAAAGATCTTTTTGATTTACAAGATCATCAATAATTTTTTGACAGCCATCCAGAGTGGGTTTACATATTAAAGTTTCATTACAGCAACCACCTTCCACCAGTGGCACAGGGGCATAAGGTCCATATTCAGCACAAGCTGGGGGAACTTTAGAAAAGAAAGAAAATAAAAATAGTTCACTCTTTTGTATTTTATTAAAAAAATTAAATAAATTAAAAAATAGTTTACCCCCTTTATAATTTATTAAAAATTAAAAAAATTAAATAATTAAAAAAACTTTTGACCCTTTTTGTAATTTAAAAAAAAATAATTTTATTTATTTTTTCTATTTAAATTTAAATTATTTAATATTTTTTTAAATTACATTAGGTTTATATAAATATTTTAAATAAAATAAAAAACTTATTATTTTAAATATAATGGATAAATCATTTAATAACAACCTCCACAACCACAATTTTACTTTGTATGGTTTTCTTCCAGATGAAGATTTCCTTTGGGATAATATTTTTTATATGGGAGGTTGCACAGAAGAATGTCGTCAAAACTATATAAAAGCACTCGAGGAATTATCTGATGCCATAAAAGGACATATTAGCATAATTAAATCAATAAAAAAAAATGAAGATGGAACTCTCCCTTCTATTTATCTGGGAGATGTCAATGCTTTTTATGAAGGCACAAATATAATGAATCCCAACATTCAAGATTTTTTTAACGTTAACTTGCTAGACTTAAATCTCTCTTATTTAAAAAAGGGCAGTTTTTCCAATGAAAAAGAAAAGAAAGAAAATAAAAAATAAAAATCACTTCTTTAAAAGTTTATTTTCTCTTTTTTTATAATTTATTTTCTTTTGATATTTTATTGTGTATTATTTCATATTCCACCTTCATTACTGATGGATTATAACCATTACCGATGTTTTCAATCCTTTCATTATATTTCGTTATTCTGCTTATTATATCACTTTTTATCTTTTCAAATGAGTTTAAAAATGATTCTGTTACTTTTTCTTTATCTATTAAATTTCATTTTTGGTACTTTCAATGAAATCAATATTGGAATCTTTAGTTATTTCCTGTTTTTCTTTATATTTTTCTTTAAATTGTTTTAATTTTGATATTATTTCTTTTAATTGGCCTGTTAAAAATTCATTCTCCAAAGTAAAGATACGACCCCACCCGCGAAATGAGGGGTTTAATCACGAGTATAAAATTTATATAAATTAATAAAAAATAAAATAGGGATCAAGATTTAGGTTATTTTTAGAAAAACAGGGGTTTCTTAGCTTTGGGTCAAATTGGTCATTTTTAAAGTAAATTTCATTGTCCAAGGTTTTTTTTATTTTTTATTGTAAAAAAAAAAAAAAAATAGTTTATAATATTATAAAAGCTGTTTAAAAATCAATAAAAAAACATTTAAATCATAATAAATTTATACTAATTTTATACTAGTTTTATAAATAATTTTATAAATAATTTTATATTTATTTATAAAACTTATAAATAATATAAAAATGATTTTAACTTTTTTTTATTTCATAAAATAAAACTTTTTTTTTTATGTCGATGTGGTGGTTGTATCGGTGGTGGTATTGTTGGTTTCTACATTATTATTATTGTTGTCGTTTTTAATGCCACTATTGTTTTCTTTTTTTTTATTATCCAATTCATTAATATTAATTGGGGTTTTAGATTGTTCAAATAAATCGAGTATATTGCTGTTATTGCTATTTTCACTATCGAATGGTTTCATGAATTTTCCTCTAACCCAAACTCTATACATTGAAATCATCTTCTTTCTATTTCTTAATTCTCTGGTGTCGTATTGTGAAACTAAAGTTTTAAATCCAGCTGCTTCAAAAATTTCTGCTAATTTTTGGATGGTAAAGAAATAGGTTCTGGTTCCATCAGCACGAAGATAAAAATTGTCATCGATTTTTTTACCTTTCTTTGACATAAAACGTAATTGGGTCATATCATATAAACCGTAATCTCTTACATATAAAATGCCACCTGGTTTTAAAGCCTAAAATAAAATAAGATAAAATAAAAATATAATTAGTATCAATATTGATATAAAGATAAATAGTAAATAAAACTTTACCTTAAATAAAGAGTTTGCAACATTTGACATTTTTTCAGGTGAAATTGCAGATAATACAAAAATCATTAACATTAAATCGATCGAGTTATCTTTGATTATTGATTGAGGTAAATCTTCGGTAGCAATATCGCAAACAAATGCTTTAAGCTGGTTTTCGTTGTATGTTGGATTTGATTTAACTAAATTAACTGCGTGTGGACTAAAATCGAAAACATTAAAGTATTTCTCTGGATTTAATTTTAAAAGTGGGTAAACAGTTGCGCCTGTACCACATCCGATTTCTAAAACTTGAAGTTTATTAATTTCATTACCATTCTTGTCGACTGTTAGTTCTTTAATACATTTGTTCCAACCCTCTTTAATTGCTACAGGATCGCCTAAAGCTGCAATCTTTTCTCTTCTCTCTTTTTCGAATCTTTGTTGTTTCTCTAAATCTCTTTGATCTTGGTATAATGGTTCTTCTTTAGTTGTGTTTTCACCTTCATCAAAAAATAAAAATGTTTGATCTCTTGTAAGTTTTAATGGATTTAATTCTGGAAACTCTAAATGTAAATAATTTCTATCTTTAAAGAATTTATCATTATTTTTTTTATAAAATTTATCCCAATAATCCATAGCGTTAGTTTCATGGTGATCTCTATCGTTTTCTGAAAGTTTTTCTGTTTCTTTTTCAACCATCATCTTTGCTGTCTATTAAAAAATAAAATAAAATAAAATAAATATATTAGTTTTTTTATTGTATATGTTGGATAAATATATTTTTTAACTGTTATTTACCTGTTCTCTAACTGTATCCCAATCCACATCATCCCATGAGGTTTCTGTTTGAATTTCCTCGACACTTTGTTTATCTTCATCTTTACAAAACTTATAGTTTACATCTGTCCATGTTCTTTTAGAACCAACTGTTGGTTCATTCTTTTATTTTTTTTATTTTTTTGGTTATTATAATATTATTATTATTATTATTAGTATAATTATTATGTTATAATGTTTGTAGTAGGTGTAGTAGTATCAGTATTGGTACATTCTGTCATTACAGTATCATTTTTCTTTTCTTCCATTTTATATACACTATCACTTGTGCATTAATTAATTTTTTAAAAAATAGTCGTTTTTTTTTTTTTTAAAAAAATTTATATAAATTTTTTTTTTTATAAAATTTAAAAATATTTTATTTTTATAAATATAATCTTAATTTCTCCACACAAAAAAAAACTATTCAAATGTTAAACTTTTCGCATAAAAAATACTAATCAAAACCAATTCAATTTCCCATATTAAAAAAAAAAACTCTAATATAAAAAATTTTTACACCTTAAAAAAACCAATCGCTTCTCGCATTAACATTATAATATAAAAAAAGCACTAAAATTTTTATGTGGTTAAGGGTTTTTTTTTTAAATAGGATATAGAAATGTGTAAATAAAGTTGTTAAAGTTAATAAATAAATAGATTTATTATATTTGAAAAAATATTTATCAAATCTAAATCTGATAAATTAAAAATATTTTATAATTGCTTATAAAACTTTTTTTTTTTTAATATTTAAATTAATTTAATAAATCGAAAATTTTTAGTGTAATGGAGGGGTTGGTAATGGTCTTCTTTTTGCTACTGGCGCTGTGGGATGTTGTTCATTATGTACATTATTGGTGGCGTTTGGTGATGGCTTTGGTGTTTGGGGCAATGGGTGATTTGGGATTGGTGGTAATGGGTGATTTGGTGGTTGATGGTGAGGTAAAGGGGTAGGTAAAGGCCTAGATACATGATTGGTTTGTTGTTGTTGGTGTTGTTGAATATGATTTAAAATGAGTGTAGTTTCAGCACTGGTGGTAGATGATCTTTTTCTAAAAGGTGCTGCTGGTTTATGGGGTATAGAGTTTACTAATTTTGGGGCCTGTTTAATTTCCAAATCTTGCATTTGACTATTAATATTGTTATCATCATTATTAAGATTGTTTTCAGAGTTGGTTCTTTGGGTTGGTAATGGTCTTTGGGGTTTGTTTATATTATTATTTACATGGTTTTCGGTTTTAGTTATATCTGGATCTACATTGTTTCTTGGTGGGGGTGGTCTAGATTTTGGGGCTGATGGAGGTAAAATTGGTGTTGATTTTCCCAATGGGTGTGATGATGGATTTGTTGATTGTGGTAAAGGTTTAAAGGCTGAAGCTTCTGGTGCTGCTGGTTGTGAGTTTGCTCTAATTGGCTTTCTAATTGGTTGTAATGTTTGTTGAACTGGTTGTGAATTTACAGGTTTTAAATTGTTATTATTAGCATTGGTGTTTGTATTTGGGTTCGAAACAAATACAGGTGGAGGCTTTTGAAATCTTTGAGGTTGAAATTCTGGTGATTGATATTTTTGTTCGCTATTATTATTACTGTTTATATTTTTTAATACTACTGGAGTCGTTATGGGTATCATTGGTCTCAAATTACCATGGCTTAGTGTAGTTGGTAATGGAACACCTCTTATTGGTCTATTTAACGAGGCTCCAAGATGGAGATCAGATTGGGATCTATTTAATTCTTTTTCCTTTTCCTTTTCCTTTTCTTTTTCTTTTTCTTTTTCTTTAGTTGAAATTTTATTTTTTAATTTTCTAAATGTGCTATAGTGTTCTTTATTTGATAGACCAGCTGATGAGTTTGGTATATTATCAGTGTTTGATAAATGATGATTTTGAATTGATGATGTTGATGAGTGTTCTTTTGAACCTGATGGGTCTATATCAAAGCTACTAAATGAATTTGATCTTTTTTTTTCCATAAATATTGAGTTTAATCTTTCTATATGATTTCTACCTGATTGAGGGGATGATGATGAGCTTGATGAGGTTGAGGCAGTTGAGGTATGCTCTTTTTCACTAATACCTATATAGTCATAACAAAATAAACACACTCTAACTGGTTTATTCTTTTTTACATTTGATATTAACCTCTTATGCGGACTACAACTACCGCAAACAACTTTACCACAATTTCTGCAATGATGCTATTATAAAAAAAATAATATAATGTTAGTTATTACAATAATAAACAAATAATAATAATAAATAGTAATACGTACTCTTCTATTAATAAGTGTAAAAACATCATTACAAAACATACATTTTACAGCTTCTTTATCAGGTATCCAAACTGGAACTTCTTCAGAATTTAAATTATGATCATAGGCACCTTTACTTGTTTCGATTCTGCTGTTATCTAATAGTTCTTTAAAATCGTTTAACCAATTCATTTTTTCTTTTAAGGTTTCGCAATATACTGTAAATGATTTTTCAGTTGAAGAAACAATTTGAAAAGCATTTTTTTGATTGTCACGATCTTTAACATCTTTAATCTTATTGATATCCTTTAATAGTAGTAATCTATGAAATGTGAAAGAATGATTTGCTGAATTTGGTGGTGGTTGAAATTTAAGGGGTATTCCATTTGCATCCAATTGTTGCTGCTGTTGTTGTAAATTGGTTGAAGTACAATACATTAAGGCATCTGAAAATAAAAAGAACCATCTAAATTTATCCTCTTTTCTACAAACTTTCATTAATCCACCTTCTCTAACAAATAATCTAGTGTTGGTTGTAATCTAAACAAAACAAAAATATTAGTATTAAGTAAAAGAAATAAATATATTTGAATAATGATAAATTATATTTACTTTTGGTCCGCCAACTAAATTTGCTTGAATTTGTTCAACTTTTAAAAAATTTTGATGATGTCTAATTTTTTCATTTATTGACCTTGTTATTGATGCTGCTAGTTGGGTTGCTTTTTCATAAAGGGTATAGTCTGGATGTGATTTATCTGTTTGTTTTACAACTTCATTAAATAGTAATTGATAACGTACCATACGTTGAACTGGCATAATTAAGAATGAGGGTAAATCTAATCTACTACCATTTAGAGGATTCTCTTTCACTGATTGTAAAAAGTGTGAGAATAATGGCTTTTTTTCGGTGATTTTGCTAAGATTCTCTACTAAATTTGAATGATTAAAACTATAGGGTATAAACAATTCTTTAATTTTTTTCTCTTTTGATAAAAATACTGATGCAATATCTTCTGATCCCTCTTGAAATTTCTTTTTCATCTCTCCTATTATTTCAATACAAAAATCTCGAATTTGTTCAATATTTGAAAAAATTTCTAATATAGTACTATTATCTAAAGCTTGTTGTTGTCTACATCCTTCTAAATAAAACTTTTAAATAATAAATAAAGAGTATTAGTATATATCTTAATAACATATAGGGTTATATTGGATTTTAGTTTGATGGTTACATGTATAAAATGATTTAAATGTGACAATAATGATTTTTCAGATGTAAAAATTTCAAAAATACATTTGCTTCTATGTGATAGGCTTAAATAGATTTGTTCTTCTTCATAATTTACAGTTTCGGTATCATATTGTATTATCGTTTCTAATGTAATGGTTGTTGATGAATGAGGTGTTGTATTTGTGGATGATGCATCTACTATAGGTGTGGAGTTGGATGATGTAATATTTGAGCTAGTATCATCATAATATTGTTCATTACTATTATTTGTATTTTCATCATAGTATTGTTGGTCATATTGTTGTTGGTCATATTGTTGGTCATAATACTGTTGATCATATTGGCTATCATCATAATATTGTTGTTGGTCATCGTAGTATTGTTGATCATAGCTATAGTTTTCATCATAATATTGTTGGTCATACTGTTGTTGTGTTCCTTCCATTTTATAAAATAGTTTATTTTTTCCTCGCTATATTTTTTATAGCTAAATGTTGTATTAATACTATTATAAAAGTTATATTGTATTAATATTATTATTTGTTTATTTTATTAAACTTAAAAATTTAAAAATTTTTAAAAAAAAAAAAAATAAAATAAATTAAATAAATAAAAAATAAATAAATTAAAAATAAAAAAATTTAATAAATTTTAAAAAAGAAAAAGAACCTTAGAGTGGTATTTGTGTGTATAATGGAAACTATTTTACTATAGAAAAAATTTGTGTGTTGTGGGTATATATTAGTGTGTGATATTAATAATGTGGTATTTATTTATTAATTAATACAATAATATCTATTTCTATAGAATCTTTAGATTACACACTCTAAGAAAGAAAAAATAAATAAATAAAAATAAATAAATAAATAAATAAATAAATATAATATAATATAATATAATATAATATAATATAATATCAATAAAAAAAAAAAAAAATAAATTTAAAATTAAAAAAAAATTAAAAAAATATCTATTTTTTTTTTTTTACAGTTGGATTTATTTATTTTTTATTGCGGTTGACACTTAGGAAATCATGATACTATCTTTAAAATTTTTTTTTTCCCATAGGGAATATTAAAAAATCGCATACCAATAATATAAATCTACCAGGTTTTTTTTAAAATAATAAAAATATTAATTTATCAAATTTATAATTTAATCAATAACTATAAATAAATTTTGTTATAATGGATTTATATAAAATTTGTATTTTATTCTTTTTTTTATTTTTTATTTTATTAATTTTTTGCAAACAAATTTCGATAAACCCACTAAATGCATGGACCGCCTCTAATGATTTTTTTTATTTTTTTATTTAAAAAGGAATGTTCGCTTTATTTATTTTTTTATCTTTTAATTATATTTTTTTTTTTAATATTATTTTTCATAACAAACATGGTTCCATAGAGTTTGATGTTGAGGAGCAGTGACAGTACCATCTAAATGTTGGAATTCATGTACGAAATATACCGAGAATTTATATAGCATTTCATCACCTAAATGACGATTATTAAATTGTCTGCAAATATAACGACCCATTTCCAACCTCATTGAATCTGAATTTGCTTGATTGTAACCATTCTCCCAATATTTGAACCAACGATGATTACCATATGATTTGTAGAAAGGATTTGGTTTTTCAAAATTCACAACTGTATTAATGTTGAAATTAAAGATGCCTTCATTTTTGAACAACTCTACCTTGGTACCATCTTCTAATTCACCATGTATTACATGCCACCAATGGGTCTTTGGAGGTGCTGGGCTAAACATATTCCAACCTTGATCTAAACGGAATGTATAGGCTATGAAGCTTAAGTTATAGTTGTATCCTAAATCAATCTTGAATGTATTGCAATTGTAGGCTAAAATATACCAACAAATGAAAAACATAAATATGTTATTTAATACTGAACACCAACGTGGGAATGATGGAATTGGATTCTTTCTCTTACTATAGATCGATCTTTTACCAGAAACTACTTGATTTTGCTGTGAACGACTGTGGAAAAGTTGAATTGTTTTACCCCAAAAATCCGAGAGTTTATTTGGAACATATTTACAACACCATGCAATAGGGAAGAGTAGTGGTGATTTGCTTAATATATAATTTAATGCATGAATATTTCTCTTTCTGATACCATTTGAATCAATAGATACCAGCCAATCATCACCAACTAGTTCTTTATTGTAATAGTTTGAGGTTGATGAATTTAAGCTACCACTGGATTTGTTATTCATATTTGGGGATGAACGACGACGGCTGCTAAGTGAAGTTTCTTGTTGGTCAGATTCGTCAGTATCATCATCTGATGTATTGTTATTATTGATTGGGTTATTGGCATTGTCATTTATATTATGGAAAGTTGATAGTGATATATTTTCATTTTGGGTGATATGTGTTAATGGTGAAAAATATGCAGTACCCGGAACAATAAAGAAAGTCTTTATGGCTAATGCAAGTTTTTGACTGAAAGGACTGGTGGTGTTATAGTAAACTTTTGGTGGACGTTGGCCCTTTAGTATTTTCCTTTCACACCATCTAAAGAATATTTCCCAAACTGGTGTTGGAATATTTATAAGTTGGGCACCTGCAGTAACCCAAAAGAATAAACCTAATCTTAAACACATTACAAAACCTACATGCATTGCTATAAAGCCGAGTGCGCTGAAGAATCTAAACCAATCAGTATAAACTGGGGAGAAAATAAAGAATATACCAATTAATTCCCATTTAGCAACTGCAATTGTTAAAACTCTATAAGATTAATTAATAAATAAATTTGTTAATATTTTTTAATTTTTAAAATATAATTATTAAAATTTACCTTATTATTGGTCTGAAATGTAATATTAGTTTTGCAAAATCAGTTGCAAAATAATCTAAAGTAATTGCATAGAAAGTGGCTTCACCGTTACGCCACTCCTCACCAGTTTTGTGGAAATAGGAAGTAACATACATACATCCCATTTGTAAAAGAACACAGGCAGTTGCAAATGAAAGATAACGATAGGAGTTTGGATCTCTGTGATGATGAGAGTATGATTCCTTTTCTTTTTCAAATAAACCAATTTCAATATTTGATTCGCCAACTACACTTCCACTGTTACCAGGATTGTTGAGTAATCCATTTCCACTTGTATTAAGGCCACTATCAATACTAATGTTAAGAGGATTACTTGCACCATTGGCACTGTTATGAGAATCTAATAATGGTTGGTTGTGTTCATTATCAATATTGCCGGAAGCTATTGAGATGGAGTTGTTTGTTAGGCTATTGTTCATTCTTGAGGGAGATGAGGAACCAATTGGTTGTTCATTATAAAAAGTGGCTTTATCGACTGAGAAATATTCGGCAGTTGGTAAAAAAATATTGATAAATAACATACAACGGAAGAAAACATCACCACCATGACCAACAACACCATTATATGCTTGCAATGAAATTGTCATAAACCAAGTTAGGGTTGAGAAGGTTTTGGTACGGTACCCAATTAGCATTAATAATGCAAAAAATATATGAAGTGAAAATAAAATTGCTTGAAAATGTACAGATGAGTTCATTAGATGAACAACATAAAAATAATTACTGCTGTATCTTTGAATGATTAGGTGTCTTGGCATTATACCTTCATCAGTGTACATTACACGCAAATCTACTCCTCTTTCTATAACATCGCCAATTACACATAATGCCATTGCCACTCTGAACAATGCCATTGATCTATAGTCACAACCAAACATACATGTTAATTTATGTTTAATGTAACTTAGTGTGTTTCTTTTTTTATTATTATTATTATCTTTTAAACTATTACTATTGATATTATTAATATTATTATTATTATCCTTTAAGTTATTACTATTATTTTTATTTTTTATCTTCCCCATTTTTTATTATTTTATTTATAATAAATCTTATAAATATTTACTTATATTTATAAAATTATATTATTTAAAAAAAAAAAAAAATATTCAAAAAAATAAAATTAAAATTAAAATTATTTAAAATAATTTAAGACAAAAAAACACTATATTAAATTCATATAATTTTTTTCTATTTAGGTATTGTTATTATTATTACTATTACTATTATTGTTAATAATTTATTACTATAGTGTGTGTTTGGGTTATTGTTTTATTTATATCTAGAGCTTTAATACAATAGTAGATAAAATGTTAGAAAAAAATATGAAAATTTAATTTATATATAAATATTTAATTAATATATATTTACTGTTGCAAAATAAAAATAATATTTTCTATTTTAAATATTTTTGTAACAAGTTAAAATAAAAAAAAAACAATATGATTTATTAAAATGATTTAATAATCAATTTCTTTCTTTGTTGTATATATTTTGTATAAAAACAAAACAAAAAATAAAAAATAACAAAAATTAAAAAAAAAGAAAATTTAATATTTAAAAAAAAAAAAAAAATTTAAATATAAATGTGTGTTTAAGTGTGAGTGAGTATGTGTGTGTTAGCGTGATTATATTATAGCCGCCATAAATTGTTTATATGTGATATGCATCAAAATAGATTTTTAAAAAAAAAAAAAAACAAAAACAAAAATAGAAAATAGAAAATTTTTTTATTTGGAAAAAATAGGCAATATAATATGAATATTTGGTATATCTAAATTTTTTTTTTTTTTTGTAATATTAACCTTTTTCAAATTTTGTGTGTGTCTGTGTGTTGTGTGTTTTATTACTATAAAAATACATATAAAAAAAATTAATAATAGTGATATTTTCATACAACAAACACCTTATCATACTACTACCACCATGCTGATTTTTAAAATTGTATTTTTTTACAAATTAGGATGAATTTAAAATGATGATTGTAAATTGTCAATAAATTAGTATTTTCATTTTTGTACATACAATTCTATAGCTCCAATGAGAATGGGGGGTGGTATAGATTTAAATTACAATTTATTCTTTTTTAGTATTGTTATTGATTCTATATGTTATTTCTTAAAAAGATAGTGACAGTGAATTCACCTGATAATTCTAAATATATATAAATTATTTAAAAGTAATAAACATGAAAAAAAAAAAAAAAAAAAGAAAAAATAAAAATAGATTTTACTATAATAGTTATAAAAAAATTAAACAAAACAATTAAATAAATAATTAAATTAAAAAAAAAAAAAAAAAAAAAAAAAATATAAATTTAAATATAAAATATGAAAAAAAAAAAAAAACTTTAAAGTTGCAAAACCAGTTATTAAATTAAAAAAAAATAAAAAAACAATTTTATACAAATTTTATTTAAAAATAGTTTAGTTTTTAATTTCTACACTATTATCCTCATGGGAGTTATTATCATTGTTATTGTCATTATTTAAAGTTTCGTTATTGTTATTACTATTAATAATTTGAATATTATTTATCGGATGAACTGATAATTTAATTCTTTTAATTGAGTTTTCTAATTTTTGTTTTAATATGTTATCCAAGCATTCTACTTGAAGTGATTCTAAATGGATTAAAGCTTTTTGACCATCTAAGTCGAAAATTAAAATTAAAGGATTGGTTTCATCGGTTGTCATTTTTCCATATTGTTCTTCTAATAATGATCTTACTTGAGTTATTAAATCTAAATTTGCAGATTGTTTTCTTGATTTTTTATTTAAAACTTTAATATTTACAATATTATCTGGATCTGATTGATCACCTATTGGTGTTTCTTCGTCTTTTAACCTTTTTTCTAATTTTTCCTCTTGGTCTTTTAGGTTTTCAGTGTTTATTTCCTCTTTGATGTCGTTTAATGATTGAGATAATGGATTTCTAACTTTGATACTAAGTGGATTAGATTCGATTTGTGATACCAATGCTATAATAGAGTCGCATATCATATCGTTAACAGTGTTGGAGTTCCATTCTAATACAATTGAAACACCGATATTATAGGTTAATTTAATTTCATTATAGATGGTAATGATTGGCTTGATAGAGTTGGTATTGACATCACGTTCTTCACTCTCCTCGATATTGTCATAGATTTGTTCTAATGTGCTGTAAAGTATGTGATAGTTTTGAGCGAATGGTATGGTAAGTTTTTGCTTGATGGTGTTTGTTTTTAAATTTGTATAGTTGTGAATATCGTTTGGAGCGACAATATGATGAATGAAATCTTTGGTGACCAAGATACCTTGAACGAGATCTCCTTGTTGAGGAGCACTGGTTAAAACGGATCCTAATGTTTTGGCAACTTTTTCAGGTCTAAATTCTAGACTTACTGATTGCGCATTCTTTGGTGTCAATACATTGATGGATTTGAAACGACCGATTAATGCATTACGAAGACGTGACATTTCATTGGCATCTCCATGAACCAGAACAACGTGTGGGGGCTGTATCTCTTGAATGAACTCTGATGTTTGAAGGAAATCAGAGTGAGCACTGAATGATACATAGCTTACAGAAAGATTTAATGGAACACTAACATTATCTAGACGGGTAATTTCAGTTGGTTCACTCATAATGTGTTTGGCTAATGTACCCTCTACAGAATAACCAGGAATAACAACACCATTTCTTTTACTTGTACACCAACGTTCAAATAGCTGACGTGATAAACCGCTTTGAAGCATACCAGGACTTGCCATAAAAACGCATGGACCATTATCATCAAAAGATTCGATACCTTTAATATTTGAAATATATTTGAATTCAAAAGGATTTGATACATCGAATTGAGCACGAACACGGTCATTCATCATATTGATATAGGTACGATAAACACCCATACACTTTTTGGCTAATGCTGAGGCATAATAAATTGGGATTCCATGGAGTGAAGGGTTGGCAATCCAATATTCATCTAAAATTAATAATAACTCTTGAGCTCTACCTAAAGCGAAAACCGGAATCAAACAACGTCCTCCTCTTGAAACTACATCGTGTACTGATGTTGTAAAACGTTTTTCACGCTCTAGTCTAGGTTCATGTACTTGAACACCATAGGTTGATTCAATAATTAAAACATCAACCTTGACAGGTGGGGTTTCTGCTCCCATTAAATGTCTATCTTCTTGTCTTGAAAAATCACCTGTATATAAAATCTTGACACCTGCTATTTCCACCATAAACATTGCTGCACCCAACACATGCCCTGCATTAAAACATGTAACCTTGATACCATTATGTTCCACTTTTTGTCTATAACGCACTTTTTCAATCTTTTCTAGACTACTGTTTAAATCCTTTTCATCAAATAGCATATCGTCATCTCTTGTAATTGTTGTAACTTTAACAAAATCTGCTAATAACATTCCATAAATTGCTTTGGTTGGATGTGTCATAAAAACTCTACCTGAAAATTTAGTTTTACCAACAAAATAGGGTACTGCTGCTGCATGATCTAAATGAAAACTATGAAAAACAAATATATTATTAGTATTGATATTGATATTGTATCTATTATATCTCAATCTATTTAGAAATACCTACTGACTGACTAATAATAAATCAATATCTGGAATATCTGACTCAACCGAATCAAAAAATGGTAATGAAACTAAACCTGAATATGCTGGATGTACACCACAGTCAAACATAATCTTTTTTCCTTTATATTTTAATAAAACACATGAACGACCTACTTCATTTCCACTTCCAATTGGTGTAATTTCTAAAATATCATCATCTTCAGTACCTCCTTTTAACGGTCTTTTTAAATGATTTTGATTATGGTGATATCTATGATGATGGTGGTGATGTACCATCTTTTAGTATATATATTAATTAATATTTTATCTTTAAATAAAAAAATAAAAAATAAAAAAGATAAATTATTTCCCAAAAATAAATTATAATTATTTTAAAAAAAAAAAATTAAATTTAAAATTTTTTTAAAAAAAAAAAAAAAAAAAAAAAATTTTTTTTAAATTTTAATTATTTTTTTTTTCAATGAAATAAACAACCATAATTAAATCAATCATAAATGTGGAGAAATAACACCGGCAATAATTGGACTTCAAGTTAATATGATAATACTTTTTAAATGTAATTTAAAAAATATAATTTATATAATAGTTTATATTGGAGTTATATTTTTAAATATTTTTAAATAGTATTATTATATTTTATACAAGGTAGCAGGTAAAAGGTCAATAAAAAGGTTCATAGATTCGTGAAGAATTTTCCTTATAAAAGAGTAGCTTAGAAAACAGATAGAACAATTATAGGAAAAAGTGGTAAAACGGTAAATAATTTTAAATGTTTTACCTTTAGAATAAAAAAAAAAAATTATAAAATACATTTTAATTAAAAATTATTTATTTTTATTATTATATACAAAACTTTATTTAATTTTATTTATTTTCTAATAATTGAGATATTTTAATTAAAGATATAATGTTGAAATATAAAAATTTAGATTTGCTATTGACGTTGGTGTAAGCGGTTGGATAGCAGATGGATATAATTTGATAACCAATTTAAAAACAATAATTACAAAGATTAAACAAAAACCCCAATGTTTAATTTGTGACATAAAATGAGCTGATACTGAAAATGAAACGAGATAAACCCCAATGTTTGAATGTGACTTTATATGAGCTGATACTGAAAATGAAACGAGAAAAACCCCAATGTTTGAATGTGACTTTATATGAGCTGATACTAAAAAAGAAAAAAAAAAACCCCAATGTTTAATTTATGACTTAAGACGTGACGACGTTGACCTTGGAAAAGAAAGAATAAAGAGAAACCCTGAAAATTGATTTGTGAATTATATAATGCCGATACAGAAAAAGATAAGAAAACCCAGTGATTGATTGCGACCTAAAATGAGCAGATATGGAAAAAGAAAAATACAAGAACCCTAATTTATAGTTTGCGTATTGAAACGTGTGTTGTGACCTAATATGAGCAGATATGGAAAAAGAAAAAAACAAGAACCTTAATGAATTGTTTGCGACTTGAAACGTGTTGACTTTGAATAAGAGAAAACAAAAACCCAATATTTGAATAGAGAATTAAAATAAGTTGATACCGAAGAAAGTTGTTACCTTAAGAGTTGTTTTGATATACGACCTTAAATTTAAGCATTGGTTACTTTCTACATAAATTATTAAAAGAAATTAATTAATATATATTTATTAAGTACAGATATGAATGTGTAAATTACTTACTATGATGTCGTGAAACTCTTGTCTACAATTTGGGCAGGTATTTATACGTTCAGACCATTGCTCGATACATCTGTAACAAAATTTATGAAGGCAATCGATTATACCCATTTCATTAGTATCGACAAAATTAAGACAAATTGTGCATTTGTCATCACTTTCTGAACGTTCCCTTTCCAAATTCTCTCTTTCTAATTGTTGTCTTTCTTCCCTCTCTCTTTGTTCTCTATCCCTTTGGATTCTTTCTTCTCTTTCTCTCTCCTCCCTTTGTCTTTCTCTTTCTTCTCTTATTCTTTGTCTTTCTTGTATTGCTCTTGCTCTTTCCTCTCTTTCCTCTCTTTGTCTTATTCTTTCTGCTCTCTCTCTATCTTTTTGGATTCTTTGTAATCTATCTCTTTCTGATTTTTCCCTATATTCTCTTTCTTCTTGCATTCTTTCAAATCTTTTTCTTTCTAATCCTTCTTTTATTTGTCTCTCTTTTTCTAAAATTTGGATTCTTTCTATTTCTGCCCTTTCTCTGTATTCATTTGAAATTCTTTCTATAATTTTGAGTCTTTCCAATTTTTCCATTTCTTCTCTTTCTTTTTCTTTTTTTAATTTTTCCATTTCAATAAATTGCTTTACTTTATTTAAACTCTCTTCATCTTCGAGTTTATATTTTTTGGAAATTTGTCTATCACTATCATTATCTAATTCCAATGGTCTCTTCTTCATTGGATGATTGCCAGTTGATGTTGGTTCTCCTGAATAGAAAATAGTACTTGATACTGGCTTTCTAAATGTTTTTCTGTTTGATAATGATGAACCTGCAGAGTTGTTACTTGATTCAGATTCAAAAAATGGATAGACAGATGCCGAGTTTTTTGATGCAATTGTGGATGGAGTGGATGGAATTGGTGGTGGAATTTGGGTATTAATTAATTGAGATGAAATTGAGTCGAAAAATTGAGATTGTGGTTGATGGTGTGATGGGGCACAAGTAGAATCAAATTGGTCTGGTGGGGCACAAGTGGAGTCAAATTGGTCTGGTGGGGCACAAGTGGAATCAAATTGGTGTGGTGGGGCACAAATGGAATCAAATTGGTGTGGTGGGGCACAAGTGGAGTCAAATTGCTGTGGTGGGGCACAGGTGGAATCAAATTGGTCTGGTGGGGCACAAGTGGAGTCAAATTGCTGTGGTGGGTCACAAGTGGAGTCAAATTGCTGTGGTGGGGCACAAGTAGAATCAAATTGGTCTGGTGGGGCACAAGTGGAATCAAATTGGTGTGGTGGGGCACAAATGGAATCAAATTGCTGTGGTAGGGCACAAGTGGAGTCAAATTGCTGTGGTGGGGCACAGGAGGAATCAAATTGGTCTGGTGGGGCACAGGTGGAGTCAAATTGGTCTGGTGGGGCACAAGTGGAGTCAAATTGCTGTGGTGGGGCACTAGTGGAATCAAATTGATGGTTTGGTTTTAAATTCTGTGGGTTTTGATGAATATGAATTTGATCAGCTAAATTGTTGTTGATTTTGTTATAACGTTGTGTATTGGTTATATAGCTATTATTATTGTAATTATTGTTGATTGTGTTATAATTTTGTGTGTAGGTTATATTGCTATTATTATTGCAATTATTATTGTTATTACTATTGTTAATGTTATTGATTGCAAAATATTTATTTATTAAATAAACTGAAAAAATAATAGCAAATAATATATAAAAAACAATCATTAATTGATCCATTTTTAAATGGTAATTAATAAATAGTTATTGAATGTGTAGATTATTATTATAAAAAAATAAAAGTATGATTATTTGTATGTATATGATTATTTGTATGTATATGATTATTTGTATGTGATTAAAATAATAATGAAAAAAAAAAAAAAATCCTTTATAAATACTATAAAAAAAATGTAAATTAAAAAAAAAAATGTCAATTAAAAAAAATAAAAAAAAATTAAAATTATCCAAACACTAAAAAAAGAAAATAGTAAATTAAAAAAAAATTAAAATTTTTAAAATTTTTAAACTTTACCACAAAAAGAAATGGAATCTAAACAATCATTGATAAAAACTAAACAGTGGGTTAAAAGTAAAAGGAAAAGTGTGGTTGATTATTATAATGATAAAATTTTTTAAAAAAGTTAAACAGTGGTTAAATGTATATGGAAAAAGTGTTTAGTTAATTATTATAATATAAAAAATTAATTAATAACAGTTTTTAAATTATATGTAAAGATTCCTTAATATTAAAGTTACTATTTTAAATTATATAACCATTTTAATTTTTTTTTATATATTAGATTTTGCATTTTTTATAATTTTAAAAATAATGCAATGTGAGTTACCAAAAATTGAATTGTAATGAATATAGATATTTAAATTATTTAATGTCAAATTTTAAAATAATAATGCTATCCAATAATTTAAATAAAAAAAAAAAATAAAAAAAAATAATTGTTTAATATAGTTAAAATGTTTTAATATAATAAATAGTTTATTAGTTCTTTTTTAAAAAAAGTTATTTAAATTTAAAAAAATGATGAAATATTTACAAGTTAAAAAAATAAAAAAAATAAAAAATATAAATAAATATAAATAGTTAATTAATTAAAATAACTATTGGTACTATTTATAATATCTTCCCATTTTCTTAACATTGAGTCAATGGTTCCTTGTTTAAAACCTTTAGAGATATAATCATCCATACCTGAATCTAAACATTTCTTGAATATTTCAGGGTCATTGTGGGCAGTTAATGCAATGATGACTATTTTGTTTCTTCCTTTTGAAGCTTCCATTTCCTTTTTTCTAATAATTTTTGTACATTCGAAACCATTTATAACTGGCATTTCACAATCCATAAAGATGAATTGAGGATTAATTTGATCTAAAACTGCTAAAGCTTTTTCTGAGGAGTTGTAACAATGACATTCAAATTCGCTACGGTTTTCAAAGAGTTTATTGAAGAGTTTTAAACCAATAACATTATCGTCTATTACCATGATTTTGGTTGGTAAACGTGGGGATAATGAGTTTGGTGATTGAGCCAAAGACGAGTTGGATGCGCCTCCAATTTGACTATCAACTTCACCAATGGTTGGGTAAGAACCATTTTGGGTGTTGTTGGTGCTTGGACCACTAAAACTGTATGAACGAGGAGTGGCTGCATTTCTTTCTTCTAAAACTTCCTTCATTCTTAATTCCGATAATTCTCTTGAGTTTTCAAACATTATGATATCAATTGAGTGTCTTCTAGTAACACGACCATAATTAAATGATTGTTGTTGTTGTTGTTGTTGTTGGACTTGTTGTAATTGTTGTTGTAATTGTTGTTGTTGAGATTGGGATGATGATGCTGAAATTGGTGGTAAACTACCAGTGGCTGGTGTTGTAGAAATAACGGGGGATGATGTTAGGGTTTCACTAATTTGGCTTGGCAATGAGGAGGGTGATGATAAGGATGATTGTTGACGTGATGAACGGAGTGGTGGTGAGATTGGGTTGGTTTCTTGTTGTTCAAGTTCGATTAATTTTGGGTTCTTTAAACGTGGTGATGGTGAGTCATAAATTAAAGAGGTTGTGTTACTATTTGCGCTACTTCCATTTCCAATTCTATTTAATGATAATGATAGTCTTCTAAAGTTACTTTCTTTATTAATAACGTGTGGGGTTGAATTAATTTGATGGTGGTGATGTGTTGTGGTGTTTGGAGTTGAGGAAGGTGTTGGTAATAATGGTGTTGCTGAGGAATTATCACCTAAAGTATTATTGATTATATTTGTATTATTTGTAAAGCATGTGGTGCTTGATGGCATTGAATGTTCTGGCATACTTGCTAATAAACATGCGATTAAGTGAGATTGACGGAATGGTTTAGTTAGTTTTGAAGTACCAAAGCCCATTTCATTTACCATAGATCTATCAGATGACATTGATATTAATCCAATTCTACCAAATTCGAAACGATTAAATGCCTCTTTGAATTGAATAAAGTCTCTAAATTCAATGCTATCAATATCGATCATTACAACTTCAATTGGTTTTCTCTTAAAGTCAATCTTTAATTGAGAGTAGGCTTCTTTAAGATCAGAACAAGTGGTAACTTCGCAACTCCAACCCTCTAAATATTGGCATAAAACTTTTTGAACAAATGGATTCTTATCAACAACTAATACTGAAAGACCATTAAAGTTTTGAACTGGACATGGTAATTGTTTTGGATTGGTCTCCAATGGAATGACAAAGTGGAAAGTGCAACCAGCTTCACCTTGAGCTGCATTTGATGAACACCAAATTTTACCTCCCATTAACTCTACTAAATCTTTAGAGATTGCTAAACCTAAACCACTACCTAAAGCCTCTTGAATGGTACCACCATTATTAACTTGTGAGAAACCAGAGAATAATTTTGAAATATGTTCTTCTTTAATACCAATACCACTATCCTTAACTTTAAAGTGCAATGACATTATATTTTGATCACCTTCACTTTCACCATTATTATTTGATTTATTTTCTGTTACAGTTGGTTCAACTGAAATACAAACTTGACCTTTATTTGTATATTTAATACCATTACCTAATAAATTTACTGTATGAATCAAATAATTTATAAAAATAAAATTAATATGAATGTTAAAAAATTTATATTTAGAAAAAAAAAAAAACTTACATAAAACTTGTCTTAATCTAATTGGATCACCATAAAAGCTTAATGGACAATGAATAAATACAAATGAGGCAATTTGAAGACTCTTGCTTTGAGCTTGAGGTGAAACCATAGCACATACATCTTCAATGATATGACAAAGATTGAAATCTACATTATTTAATGTTAATTTGCCTGATCTAATTCTCTTGTAATCTAAAACATTTGAAACCAATTCTAAAAGAGTATTTGCTGAAGTATCGATAATAGAAAGATATTCATTTTGAGTAACTGTAAGAATAGTTGATCTAAACAATTGAATAGAGGCGATTACACTGTGAATTGGAGTTCTTAATTCGTGGGATAAATGTGAAATCATATCAATTGATTTATTATTTAACATACTATCAAAACTAAAATGATTTGGCATTTTTCTTGGTGATGCTTTTGGTGAATATGGAGCATTGCATGTAGTATATTGACTGGATGAAGATCTTGGTGATAAGGTACTGTTTTCAACACTACCTGGTCTTGGTGTAGATGGTCTGGATGATGAAGATCCATTGGATGATGAGGATCTTGGTGATAATGGACTTGAACTATTTGCTGATGAAGATCTTGGTGATAAGGCACTATTGGATGAAGATCTTGGTGACAATGTATTATTAGCATTGCTTCTTGGTGATAATGGGTTTGAACCATTTGTTGATGATGATCTTGGTGATAAAGCAGAGTTGCCATTATTATTGTTATTTCTTGGTGATAAAGCAGAGTTACCATTACTACTATTGTTTCTTGGTGATAATGGATTGTTACCATTATTTCTTGGTGACAAGGCATTGTTAACAGCAGATGATCTTGGTGATAAATTGTTATTTGAGGAAGATAAAGATCTTGGTGAGAAGGCATTTAAAACTAATTTCAATGGTTGTGGTGATAAATCCTTTAAAGACAATACTAAATAGCTATTGGATACAAATGGTAGAACGGTCATTTGCATTTCGAATGGAATGGATGGATCGATATTATTAATGTAATTGAGACCTTTAAAGAATATTGTATTGATATTGAAGTTTGAGTCATTTACATTCTTTGAAAACTTTGATTTTAAAAACTGTTCCAAGTGTTTTTTGTCATCGTTAAAGATTAAACTAAGGAAATTGAATTTTGAATTTGAATTTGATTGAACTGAATTCATGCCATTGATTTCATTGTAATTGGAGAAAATACTTTTAATACTATCGGATACAGAGATAATTGTCAATTCTTTATCAATGATTATGATGGATCCACTAAAAATCTTGATGTTTTTAAATGCATTCAAGTCTTCCTCCATCATTGAGCACGATTCGTCATCTGATTCCATAATTGATGATGTTTCACAGCCATATCCTGACTCTTCTTCTGATTCCATAAAATCTTTCTTCATTTTATTAATTTCACTTTTTTCATTAATTACTTCTATATTATTCTTTAAGTCTTGATTATTATTGTTGCTGCTGTTGCTGTTGTTATCACTATCATCATCGATTTTAAAAAACTCTTTAAGTTGTTTTATTCTTTCAATTGAAAATTCTTGTCCAACAGGCTCCTCTTCAGATTGATCCATTTCATCATTAATTTCTACAATTTTATTACTACTATTGATAAGATTACCATTTAAATTTGAATAGTAAAGTTCCTCTTCTGAAAAATAACTATTTACACTATCATTAATACCATAACTATTTAACAAATTTGACTCTTGTATACAATGATTAATTTTTTCTTCTATTTCACTGAATAAATAATTTAAGTTATCAAAACTATTTTGTTCATAATCTTCAAAGTATTCCTCTTCTTCTATTTGATCTTCGTTGCTATAATCTGCTACTTCTTCTCCATCTACAAAGTCTTCGTTGTTATTAATATTATCACTATTATTACTAATATCAGTTGGCTCTACTATATTATTAAAATCTGTACTATTATTATTACTATTATTATTATTACTATTACTAAAAATATTTATATTTTTCTTTAAAGATTTATTTAAAAAAATATATGATAATATTAAAAATGGTGATAAAATAACTACTGAGAAAATTAAATTATCAATATTAAAAAATTGCATCATTGGCAATACCATTTTTTACTATCTATAATCTTTATTGTTATTGTTGCTATTGTGTTGATGAATAAATTACTATTATTGTTTTTTTTTTTTTTGGTTTCTGATTGTTTTTTCTTTTTTTTTTTTTGATTTTTTTTATTAATACTTTTGGTAATTTGATTGACGATTTATTTTATAAAAATATTTACAGATTATATATTTAACTAAAAACTGATTGTTATTTGTTAAATATATTTTATTGATTTATAATTATTATCACTTTAAAAAATTCGATTGTAAGTAATTTTATTCTGATTATTATTATACAATTGAGTGTGTGTGAGTAAGTGAGTAAGTGTGTTATTTTATTTTTAAAATTATTATTTGTGTGTTACTATTATTATTGTTATTGTTTATTATTATTATAATTAATATATACAAATTTTATGACTATTGTTGTAATTAGTAAGAAAAAAGAGAATAAAAAAAAAAAAGGTAATTAATAATTTGGAATAAAGAATTAAATATAAAATAAAATAAAAATTAAGGAAACCGTATGTTGGAATGAAAAAAAATAAAAAAGAGAGAATAAAAAAAAAGAAAAAGGAATTAAAATAAAAATTAAAAATAAATAAAAATAATAAAAAAGAATAAATAATAGATTAGGAATTAATAAATAATTTTGAATTATTACATGCACACACAACTATTACTATTTCTAATACTACAAGATAAAAACTAAACAACTTTGTTATATATTACAAAATTACACCACATATAAAATAAATAAAAATATAAAATATAAAAAAACTTTTAAAAATCACACCCCCCAAAAAAAATTAAACATAAACAACAAAAATAATAATAATATTTAAAAAACATTATTTAAAATATTTTTAAATTTTAAAATTAAAGTATAAAAAAGTCTAAAAATAAAAAAACATATGTATAATTATAATATTCTATTTTATTGCTTTATTATTTTTACTATTTATTTATTTTTTATTTTATGTATACTGTGTGTTTTTAAAAAAAAAAAACAATATAAAAATAAAATAAAAATGAATTTAAAAATAATAATAAAAATAATAAGAGTTTTTTCAAAAGTATAAGAAATTTAAATAAAGTTTATAATTGTTTTTTATACATGCAGGCCAACTTGACGTAGCACATAAAGACGAAATGTCGTGTGTGTGTTTTTGTGGGTGTGTTTACAAATTGTGTTTATGTGATTGATGATTTTTTAAAAAAAATTTTAAAAATTATTGAAAAGACAAAACAAGATCACAAAAATATGAAAACAAAATTAATATATATTGTAATATAGTATAATCAATATTATAGTATAAAAATAGATAAAAAACAAAAAAATCCAAAATTAACTCTTTTCTTTGTTTTTTTTTAATGTGATAATAATAAATGTGATAATGATGTAATGTGATAAAACTGATTTAATTATTATTTATATTTTACTCTCTGATGATGAAGTTGAATATAAAGCTAAAAATAAATATTATATTAAAAAAAAAAAAAATAAAAAAAAATAAAAAATACAATAAAAGTGTATATTTTAAAATAAAAATTGTTTTTTAATTAAAATATTAAAAATAATAATAATTTAAAAAATTAAATAAAAAAAAACAAACCTTAAAAGTAGAGGTGATAAAAAGATTTGTGTTAAAAAACGATTGTTTTCATATATGTATATATTTAAATAAGTTTTATAATAATACAGTTGTTATTGAAGGTATTTTTGTTGTTGTTGTGGTGGTGTTTTTTTGTTGTTGTTGTTTGTTATGGAGTAAGAAAATGTGTGCGTGGGTGGGTTGTGTGTTGTGGTGTGTTGTATTTAATGTTTTATTAAATCATCAAAGAAACGAAGCCAACCACAAAGAAAAAATTAAAAAAATAAAAACAAAAAGAATTAAAATTAGAATTAAATACCAATTAATATTATTTTATGATTTTATTGATATTATATAATATATCATATTATATGATTTAATTTTTATAATATGATATAGTGGTATAGGTAATATTATAGTGTGAGGGTGTGTGGTTTATTTTTTATTTTTATATTTTATATTTTAATAAAATGCAAATGAATTTTTGTAATCATAAAAAAAAAATAAAAAAAAATAAAAAAAAAATAAAAAGTGGTTGAATGTGGTTTATTAATTATGATGTCTGTGTATGTGTGTGGTATATGTCTTTTTGAATATGTACATATATATAATTCTTTCTGGATAGTGATTATAATTATTATTATTAATTTAATTTTAAATTTTAAAATTTTAATAAAAAAAATTATGTGTGTACCTTTTTCTTTTTTTTTTGTTGTTGAAGATAATGATTTTAAAATAAAATTTTATATTAAATTAAAAGAAATTTTTTTTTTTTTTTTGCCATAGGTCTCTTATATCATAAAATTATGTGATTTGATTAAAAATGTATATTGAAAATTTGTAAAAAAAGTTTTCACCGAAAATCACGCACACTCACATACAATTTTTATAAATTGGTTGGAGTGTGATTTAATTTAAAAAAAAAAAATTTAAAATTTTTGAAAATTTTTTTTTTTTTGGATTGTAATCATTTATGCCCCAACATTATTTATGTGGGTGCAAAAAAAATAAAAAATAAAAAACCTTCATACAAATGGGTTAAAAATGATAATTGTGTAAAAGAGATTTTAAAAATAATATATACTAAATTAATCACATTTAGTTATGTCTATGTGTGTGTATTGAAATAAAATTATAGCGGATTATGATTTAATTTTAAAACAAAACAAAACAAAAAAAAAAATACAATATTTAACCACTCCAATTAAGGTTTGGTGATGTAAATATAAAAAAAAAAAGTTTAGTTTATTTTTAAATCATATGATTATAATTATTGTTTAATCTTTCCAAAATAGTATA